CCCGGCGCCCGCGCCCGCCGCCCCAGGCGGCCCTGCCGCTGCTGGCCCTCCTGGTAGGCCTGCAGCTTGCGCCGGTAGGAGGCCTGCTCCTCCTGCAGCTGCCTCCGCAGCTCCACGCTCTGCCGGGCCAGCCCCTTGGGCTCCTGCGTCTCCAGTTCCCCCGACTCCAGCCGCACAGCCTGCTCCAGCTGCAGGGAAGGCCCCTGGGTGAGAACCCTGGGCCTCCTGGGAAGGAAGGCTCAGCACTCTGGAGTGGGCACCAGACTGGGCCCAGACTCATAATGCCTTACTGCTGATAGCCTGGCACCCAGTGGGGAGCAGGCACCTGCGGGCAAGTCTACAATGCAGCGCACATGTGCAGTTGACTGTTACAGCCACACAGGGACACACAGAGCATGCATGGACACATGCACATGGGCACACCAACAAGAGCAGATGCACCTGGACTAAACCCTGGAGGCCTGCAGCGCTCCGCGTGCCTGTGCTCCAGACATGCAGCCCTGCGGCTGCTCACTGCTCACCTCGTGCCCATGTCCCCCGCCTTGCCCTCACGCGAGCTCAGCAAAGCCTGCACTTTTGCTCCCAGTGTTTCTTAGTACCTAGAACAGCCATGGCAGTGGCATGGTATGGCACATGTCAATAAATATGAGTTGATATCATGAATTAGTGGCCTGAGCACACGTGAGCACAGAGGTATTAGTACATACTCACATATCGCACATACAGACACACATACATGCAGTGTACATGGGCACCCAACCACCAGCATGACACAGATAAACCCCCCATATATGGCCATAAGAGTTCTAAGAGGTGCCCACTCACCCTATCAGTGCCTGTTAATCGCCACCCTCAAAGTCCCCCCCTCCCAACCTCATGGGAAGCCTCTGCGCCCACCCCTCCTCCACCCCAGGCAGATGGCAACTCCTTCACCCTCAGACCTGCTGTGGGCACAGGCAGAGGCTCTGGCTACCCCACTAGCCACAGAGCCCTCTTCAGGCACCTGCTGGTCCCACATGGCCTGCTCAGCCTCCTCCTGTTGGGGTGGGGGATAGAAGCACAGCACAGAAATGGGACGAAGCAGGGCAGTGAGGGGTGTACACAGGGTGGCGGGGGGCCAGCAACCAGCAGGGACTACACCCCAGGCCAGCTGACTGATGCCAGCCCCACACTTACCACCCTCTTCCCCAGTCCCTGGCTGCCACAGCCTGGGCAGAGCATCTACACACCCACCCATGCGGGCCACACTGGTCACAGGGGAGCCAAGAGAGGGACAGCTACTCACCCACAATAACCTTGGGCTGGGCCAGGTTAAACAAGAACAGCCCTCCAGGCCTGCTCTGACCCAGTATGCCTGGGAGGCGCTCTGTGAGCCACCAGCAGAGCCAAGGGCTATCATATCTCCACCCAGGCACACCAGAGTCAGGCTGACTGTGCCCCAGGGTGTCACCAACGGGAGGGCTGGCTGTGGCTGTTTGGGGGCTTTATCTTGAATTGGGGGGAACAAGGTCTGAGGAGACTGAAAGCACTAAACAGAGGAGCTTTCTACCTGGACCGTGCCTATAGGCCGTGGCAAGCACGTGCATGAAGCCCGTCTAAGTCAGGTGGTGGGCAGTGTCCACATCTGCATGTGTGGTGGCAGTGGCCCGAGATGTGTCTGTGAGCCATGCATCAATGGGTATACCTCGCCAGGCACGAATGGAGCGTGTTATGTCCTTTGTCACCACATGGGACCCTGTGTGTCTCTGTGTGGGCATCGGGTACATGCCGACAGCTTGGTGTGGCAGGACCTTCACATGAACCTATGGTTGCAGGTCTTGTCATGGTGCAGGTATGGGTCATCCGTGTGCACCAGCGTATGCATTTCAAGTCTGTGTGTATGAGGGGGCAAGGAGACACACGTACACAGTATGTGGATGAGTGTAGCAGTGTGTCTGGCCTCGATGGGTCTCTGGTCTATGCCCATGACTATATGCTTTGTGCACCTGTGCACAGCACTGCAGGGCTGGGGTGGCTGTGCTGTATCAGATGCTTTTCCATGGGACGTAAGACAATGTGCCAGGCTGTCTCTGTTATGGGTGTAGTGTGGTGGGGTGACACCATCCTGTGCCTGTGTAGGACTATGTGGGGTCTGGCTGTGGGTGCAGATCAGGCTGTGCGTATCCTGTGATCTGAATGTACCCCGCGTGCGGGGTGTGCATTTTTGTATGGCAGGTCTGTACATCTGTGTATCTCTGTGAGGGTCTGGTGAGGTTGGAGCTGTGTGTACTTTGCACACCTGTGTGAACCAGGTTCTGGCTGCTCCTGGGATTTAGAGGGGCTCAGGAAGTGGCGGGGTGCTCTACCCCTTTCCCCAATGCTCAGAGCCAGACCACTCCTGGCTGCACCTCACCCCTCTGCACAAACCTCACCCCTAACAAAACAGCCTTTCAATTTTACTTGCAATTAAAAAGGGAAGGAGGCCGCCCCCAAGCCAGGGATAAAAGAAGTTTACTGTCTCCCCTGGCAACTGCTGCCCTGACACCACTATTCAATCCACCCTGTACAGGTTGCCATGGACACTGAGACCACAGACCCAGGGGGGTCTGTCCTCTGGAGCCAAGGGAGATGTGGCCACCCCTCCTTCCATTGCCACCTGCCTCCCCTACACCTGCTCCTTGACACTGAGAAGCCCGGGATCTGTCCTCTGGAGCCAAGGGAGATGTGACCACCCCTCCTTCCATTGCCACCTGCCTCCCCTACACCTGCTCATCAGGGACAGAAAGAATGGGGGAAGGCCTCCACAGGGACCCTGAGGTCCTCTCTCTCTTACTAGGTGGTGGCCTCTGGAAGCCCCTGCCTCAGTTTCTCTATAGGATATGTGATCAACATGGCATAGATCCTGGCCCTGCCTCTACTCTCTATCCCAGGGGTCAACCTCACAGTGTTGAGTCTCAAGCCAGAGGTCTCGTCCTAGCTCCACTCCTGACACCGGGCCTACCATACCCCTCTCCATGCCTCACTCCTCAGGGTCCCCTCTGTGATCTCCAGACTCTAGTGTTCTCTGGAACCACTCTGTGGGAAAGGCCTTCAAGGTCACTCTCATTTAATGCCTCCCTGCAAGTAGGGGCTCACTCAGACCACCTGGTATGTTCTTCAGGGGCCTCCTCAGCCACATCCGGAGCTTGCTAGACCCCGTGCTGCAGCCCTGCCCCAGCAACTGTGTCCCAGCGAGAAGGAACCTGCCACCTCCCACCTCTTCATCCCTTCTGCCAATCAGAGGCCAGTGTTAGCCTCACTGTCAGTCCACAGTTGGCATTTAGGAGGTAGCCCTCAGGAGGTCTGGCACTGTTACAGGGGTCAAAAGAAAAGCCTTAACCAGGCGGGGCTGGCTCAGGCCTCAGTCATCAACAATGGGGGACTCAAGTCAGCCCGCCCTCCACACCCCCTGCAGACCCTGAGAAATTGACTCTGTGCTGTTCCCAGTGCTTGGGGCCACTCTGGGCCCCCCACCTGCTCCTCAGCAAGTCCCAACAAGTCGGGGGCTTGTCCAGGCCAGCAGGACACACCAGGACACAGACACACCCCACAACTGTACACGGAATGCACACCGTTTTCCCAACACCGTTGTGCAAGCCTCAGCATAGTCAGGCTCAGCTCAGGGAGCCAGGCTAGCCCTAGCTCTGCCACAAACACCTGGGGGACCCCAGATCAGCCCCTACCCCCCTGGGTCCCTCCAGCTTTCCAGGAACCCACAGCCCCGTGTCTCTTTCCATATGCAGGAGACAGAACTGCAGCGTAGTCCCTGAGCAAGGAGGCATTAGACCTGGGTTCTAGCCTTAACTGGCTATGTGACCCCCAGCATGGCTTTCCTCGGGGTCTCCATTTCCTCCTCTTAAATGGGCATTGTAATGGCCCTGACCTTGATGCAGTGCCCAGCACATAGTTGGCACTCAATAACCAGAAGCTACTATTCTTGGTGCCCACACACCTCCCACCTGCACACATCCCCTCTGGCCCCCATGCAACAGTCTCACCAACCTTCAGCCACATCACCTCTGCAGAGTCCTCTCCCACAAACCTGGAGGCCCAAAGCAGATAGTGCACAAGAGCATCCTGCACCCCTGGTGCCAGCCTCCCCACCCCAAGGACCAGGACCCCCCACAAACCTGCAGCACAGGCCCCTGGGTGATGCAAATTATATCTAGACCTGGAGACAGGCCTGGCTTCTCCCTCCCCAACCTGGACCTCATCCCCATGGGGAGGGGCAAGTCTTGTGGCCTGAGTCCTGCAAAGCACTACAGGCATCTACACCAGCTAGCCCCTTCAGACATGCCACAGCCACAAGGTTCATGAAATGGGAGCACAGGGAGATGTCAGAGACTTGAGGGCAGGAAAGGCCTAGAGGGGCCTTGTTCTCTGTGCCCAAGCAGGCCTGGAGCAGACGGGAATAAAACAGCCCCAGGGCCAGGCATTTTACCCATATCTCATTGAGTCCTCCTAGCAGCGCCATGCCATAGCACCATCCCCTCTACCGAAAACGGGCTCAGAGCAGAGTGGTTTGCTGGAGGCCATTCGAGTCAGCAGAGGCACAGTCAAACCCAGGCGGGCTTGACTGCAGGGCCCACATTTTGCCAAATGTTCGGGCCTGGTTTGGACTTTGGGGCCCAGCCCCCAGCACCCACCCTCTCGCTGACTGCGTTGTACTTAATGGCGAGCTCATCACGCTCGGCGCGGCTCTGGGCCAGCAGGTCCTCCAGGCGGGACAGTTCCTGCTGCAGCAGCTGGTTCTCCTCCTGCAGCGACAGCACCGATACCATCTCGGCGACTGGCAATGGGGCTGGGAAGGGACAGCAAGCGCATGGTTGGCTTCTTCTGCTGGGGTCCAGTGAGTCATCCTCCCCCAGACAGGTACCCTGCTCATCACTCGGGGCAAGCTCTATCAGGCCCTGAGAGGAGCCAGGGCCTGGAGCACCGGGCCTGCAAGCAGAGCTGAGGACAGCAAGGTCAGCAAAGACAGCCTAGAGTTAGAGCTAGAATTGCAGCGGACGCAGCTGCAGCTGAGTGTGGCCCCAGCAGGCCAGGAGGTACAGGAGGAGAACCAGGAGACTAGGCCCTGAATTCTTGCTCCTTCCCTCTCTAATTACTACTCATCTCTGGGCCTCAGTTTTGCTAATCTATAAAATGGGTGGAATAGGGACTGGCAGGTGGCGTGGTGGTTGAAGGTCCTGGACTCCCACGTGGCCGACCACGATTCAACTCCCGGACCTGGTGGCTTGCTTTCTCACTTTCCCACTCTTTCTTTCTTTGCCTCTCTCTGATCAAACTGGAAAATAATAATAATAAATAAAGTTAAATAAATAATTCTTAAAAAATTAAAATAATAAATAAATAAAATGAGTGGAATAGTAACCAGACCCTACCAGGAAAGCCTCACCCAGGAGAACTTCAAATAACTTCTAAAGCCAGGGTTCAAGATGATGTACGTCAGGATGTGAAGAGGAAGAAGAAAGAGGAGGAAAAGAAGGCCAGATGGAGAAGCAGTACTGTCTACCTTCTGTGGGCTCCCCATCCACCCTGAGAGAACAGGACACACACCACAGGCCACAGGCAGCTGCAGCCTGCTGGGCTCTCACGGCTCTCTAAGCCCCTCCCTGGTCTCCTCTTGCAGAGGGCCCATCCTTAACCTGGCAGTTAGACAGGGACTATGGCAGGAACACCGGAAACACTATTAAGGAGCCAGCCAGTGGCATGGTAGTCAGGGCAACCAGATCCCATACAGCTGACTGCATGGTCCACACCTCAGACCTGGCAGCTTAAAAACATGTCCACTGGGGCCGGCAGGTGGCGTGGTGGTTAAAGACGCTGGACTCCCACATGGCTGACTGCAGTACAAGACGCAGACCTAGCAGCTTGCCTTTGCATTCTCTCTCTGTCACTCTCACTGTCTTTCTCTGGTCAAATTAAAACAAATAATAATAATAAATAAAGTTAAAGAAAATAATTATTTAAAAAAAAAAAAAAGGAAACGAG